AATCAAACCATTGATTCAATTAATTAGCTAGACGGTTAATTACATATGCAATTAATTAGGTCCATTTAAATAGGAATCTCTACTCCTAATGAAGCAGTTGGTAGCCTGTTACGGTTTATTTTCGTCCGGTTTTTCTTCGTCCCACCTCCTCCCACTGGTTTTTCTCCCTCCCATTAAAAAACCAAATCCCATTAGGGGATCTTGTTTCATGCTTCCTTTGGTAGACGTTGATTCAATTCAATCACGTAAACAATAAGTAATTAAGAATTCAGAAATTGCACCATATATGTGAGATCACCTTCCTAAAAGACAGACATAAGATTTTTCTCAATAACTTTCCATAATAAAATGAGATATTTCTTCATAAGAAATCACTAACCCCGCATGCCTATGTCATTTATTATTATCATTATCTCTACTATTAATTGAGAATCACAAGTTTCATATGGGCGCACGCATCCGCGCGCCCCTGCGGAGGGACGTCGTGCACGACACCATGGAAGATGTCGTGGCCGGGCCTAATGCTGACACAGTGCTTGAGAATGCCAGGGCATGGATCACGTGGTTGAGGACGGACGTGAAGGGAGGCGGGTCATCCGACCACCATGTGGACTCGATCATATTATATTTCTTGTAGAGCCAAACAAGCTACATTCTCAAATTAGGTGTGTCCATTTAAATGTCAAGAAATTCGTTAAGGGAATGTGTCCAACATTACTCGGTAATCGTCATCATTGGCATTTGTAGCAGCCATTCATGCGAAAATATTTGAAAAATCGAGCACTAAATCAATTTCAAAATCAAACCATTGATGCAATTAATTAGCTAGACGGTTAATTATGTATGCAATTAATTAGGTCCACTTAAATAGGATTTTTTTACACCAAATCAATTTGGAAGTCGAGTGATTAATGCAATTAATTAATTTGTTAGACAATTATTTATGCCTACAAATAATTAGAAGTGGGGATATTTTCCAATTAGCTAGATAATTAATTGATTTGATTGACAGTTAATTAGGCATGCAGAGAATTAGGTAGGTCGTTAATTATTTATGTACTTAATCAATTAAGCAAGCAGTTAATCGCGGCAAATCATTTTGAAAGCGCTCGCGGGCAAGGACGATCAACGGGCTCTCGGCTGCATGGCCAATCACCGAGCATCGCTTGCCAACATGGACAACGTACACCATGCGCTTGGGACATGGGCAACCTAGCGTTCACCTAGATGAATGAAGACTATGCTCCGCAGGATGTCCACACGCTGACGGTTGTCGAAATATTCGCAGGTGAGGACAACACGACACAACATTGGCCAGGTGGTTCATGCAATAATAAGAAGAAAGAGTGTTCCAAGAACAAGAAGGAAAAATAACTAAAGCCACCAAATGGTACATGGTATTATTGGAGAAAGAAAAGAGTGTTCCAAATAATAAGAGAGAGAAAAAGAAAGAGTATTCATGAAAATAAGTAGGAACGAGAACTAAGATTGACGAGAAATGAGAAATAAGAAGATGAGACGTCGATGACGAACACACTAATATTGACATGGTGCTGGTTGGCGCCAATGAAACGGGTTAGCGAAGACGCGAGGAGTAGAAGATCTAGGGAAAGACGAGGAAGAGAAGAACGACAATTATCCCTTCTAACATATGTGGGATGGAGGTGGAGCTTATTGGCGACTAGAAATACGTTCATGTTGCCTCTCCTCCAGTGTCAATGTGCATTTGAAAAGTTAAATGGACATTTAAAAATGCTATCTGTAGTTATTTGTTGCTTTGTGTCAGTAGTATGTTGTTAGTTTAACCCACTCTATAATATTGTAAACATGGAAAATTTCATCTTTATTGCAATGCACGGCAAAGATGAGGTCTACGTCATCTGGTTCTAAAGGAGGTGCCTCCAACGAGAAATGTCCCGCTATGGCAGGAAGCCGATCGGGAATGGGAGGTTCCGACAGAAAAAGGAAAGGTACGTCGTTGAATGAGGTTTTTTGGTGTTGAACCCGAGTGTTACAAATAACATTGCGGATAGCCCGTAATAACGCATGGGCGTTCTGCTAGTTCTGCTTGTATCCAACTTGCACAAAAACACGGGGAAGTAATTGATTTAAGGAATTGATTGCCGTGATGTGGTGTGCTAATTAACGTCCATATAAATAGGAAAACAACGACGTTTAATAAGGAGAGACATATAAGGGTGAAGGCGCTGATCTTCAACATCCGGTCGTCCTCTCCGTATATAAACACCATGCCCGTACAGAAGAGCAGAAAAGGAGCCCCCTCATGGCCCTCACCATGAACAAGAAGGCAACGCCTATGTGCTTGGTGTCTCTCCTCGTGATGTCCTCCTCTCTCCTCCTCTGCCACGCGACAGGGAGGGACATAGGTGCGTGCGTGCGTGTACCAGATCGTTTTCTTTAACTTCATTCATCCATTGTGAACGTACTATCAGTTCATCTTCCATGCATGTGCACGTACACAATTATGTTTTGAAGCTGCCAACGAAGCCAGTTTTTTTTTTTGAGAAGCTGAATGTTCTTGTGGCGCTTGTCGAAACATTCTTTGCCTACAAATGACGTGAGAGCTCACAGTCACATGGCGGATTCGAGCGCTTGCGGCTTATGTGGAGCGGAAGACTCGTGGAGACACTCGCTTCTCAACTGCACAATTTCCAGATGCATTTGGGCGCTAGTGGATGGTGAACTTGCAGAACAATTAAGAGAGATCACTGAACCAAGTGCTAAACAATGGATTTTCTCAATGATCCAAGTCTTATCTCATGAAGCTTTTACCAAGGTCTATGTCACTTTATGGGCAATCTGGTCGGCAAGGAGGAAAGCGATCCACGAAGGGGGGTTTCAAAGTCCTCAAGCAACACATGAGTTCATCAAGAGATTCTTGGCTGACCTGGAAATCATGACGGAAAACCGACTAGTGGCTAGAAGGGAGGCTGTGCAACAGCCGGCTGTGGCGAGGACGAGGTCTAAAGCTCCACCCGTTGGTTATGCAAAAATTCATGTAGATGACAGGGTGACCAATTCCAATCGCCGCGGTTCAGCTGCAGCAACGGCTAGGGACTAGTTTGGTAACTACCTAGGCAGCTCGTCGCTGGTGATTGAAAGGTTACACGACCCATCGGTCCTGGAGGCGATAGCCTGCCGCGAGGGTCTCTCGCTCGCTGAAGACTTGGCTCTTCAGAGATGCGTCATTGCATGCGAATTCATGCTAGAGCTGCAAATATCACTTGTAATTTTGTTTTTGAAGGCCGGTCGGCAAACACGGAGGCTCATAGTTTAGATAAGTTTTCGCTTTCCCTAGACAGGGGTCGCCATTTGTGGCTCATTCAACCCCATAACCAAACTTGTATCCCACTATGTGTGGAGTTTGCTTGAATAAAGTTAGGTTAACTAAAAAAATCCATCCATCGACCATGCATTGTTTATGTAGAAAAACAACAAGGGTGAGAGGAAGATTTCAATAAATAAACATGGGTCCCGATAACTGCCACACGTGTGGTGTATCAGGTAGTTGTGCCACACGCCTCGTGTGGCATGGACAGCAACCACCCCACACATCTACGTGTGGGCAAAACAACTAATGCCCACACACCTCTTTTTTTCCCTCCCGAACCCTCTCACATGCGTGTGTGTGGGCGAAGTTGATAACGCCCACACGCCCGTATGTCAGGCCTCGTACCCTCCTGGTCCCGCACGCCACACGTGACGCCCACCGTGCGCCCGCAGTTGCCATGGTCCAGACCCTCGTCCATGTTCGTTTAACTGCAGTTGCCATGTCGCTGAACTACGGTTGCCATGTCGGACAACTGCAGTTGCCATGGTTGCTCAACTGCAGTTGCCATGTATGGTCTGATCTAATGTAGTTGCCATGATTTCATAATTTTAGGAGTTGCCACATACTAACACTAGGCAGTTGAGAGAGTTGTCATGTGCTCACAAGCATGCTAGGGCAGTTGCCATGTAAAAAGGAAGAGTTGCCATCTGCTTACGTGCACGTTAGGGCAGTTGCCATGTACGTGCACGTTGGGGCAGTTGCCATGTACCATGCAAAAACACATGGCAACTCGGTAAAAGAGAGTTGCTATCTGCTTACGTGCACACTAGACAGTTGCCGTGTACCCTGCAAAAACACATGGCAACTCGGGTAAAAAAAGAGAGTTGCCACCTGCTTATAAAGCACACTAGGGGCAGTTGCCATGTGCGCTGCGAAAACACATGGCAACTAGCAGCTTGGGTGTGGGAGAGGAGACGAACGTGTGGTCGAGATGGCAAATGCCCACACACTAGCCCTTGTGTGCGCGTGCAAAATGGCGTGTGGCGCGAACTGCTGAACGCCCACACACCGGCCACTCCGTATGGTAAAACGGATGTGTGGGCGACCTCTCTCACACACCATACACACGAGTTGTCTTACGTGGCATACAAAATCAGCTAATTCGTGTCAAGATTCGTGCAGAAGTTACTGGACGGTGATGAAGACGTGTGGGTGAGTTGGCTAATGCTCACACGTGTGGGCGTTAACATTTCCGATAAACATAGACCTGCGTGCGTGCCAAGTACCAACCGGTAAAACGTGCGTTTCTCGCCCGTCGCTGCCGTAAGAATAGTCGCAAGTCATTTTTTTTTAGGCAACGCAAGTCATTTCGCAAAAAGATAAAAAGAAAAAGTCGATCTCGTTACCGTAGTGCTCACGGTAACTCGCACGGGCCGGGCCGGGCCGCGCGGAGCCCGAAGCGACACGGCCGCGGGGGAGTCGGCTGGGCCCGGGACACTGGCTGGCTTCTCCGCACCTCCTCCGTCCGCCGAGCCAATAAAAGCCAAGGCGCCGCACGGCAGGAGAGGAAGAGAGAGAGAGAGACCATCCCACCCCGCGGGAAAGCGCTCGCCGCACGCAGACGCAGGCAGCCCAGGAAGCAGCTAGCTAGGGCTAGCTAGCAGCTTCGAGGAGTCCGCACGCGCCGCCGCAGCCGCAGCCGCGCCCCATGGCCAAGGGCAAGTTCAAGGGCAAGCCCACCGGGCAGCGCACCTTCTCCTCCAAGGAGGAGCTCGGTACGTACGGCGCCGCCGCAATGCTCGCCCCCCTCTACTCTTTCCCGGTTCGATTCGCGCGCGCCGCTGGCGATTCGTTCGTTAGCTTGGTGTGGCCGGCGGCCGGCGCGCGCGGACGCGCGAGACGGCCCGCTTGTACTTGTTTTACTTAGCTTGAAGAGCGTACCGGAGTCGATTGGCGCCGCAAGGTCGTGCCTTTTGGGGTGGGAGGCGCAGATCGGACGGTTTGGTGCCCCGATCGATGCTTTGGCCACTTTAGGTTGTGTGTGCCGTACTCTGACCATTTTTTCCCTGGATGGAGGGTTTGCTAGCTTGAGTTTATCCTTCGGAAATATGGGGGGATGGTTAATTTGCTTGTGTATCCTCCACGAGCCGGTTCCACTAATTACTAGCTACTGCATTCCGCGTGTGTACGTTTATCCCTACCATTGTTTTGGTTGTTTCAGTTATGATTTACTTTGTTCACCTGTAGAATTGTGTTTGTCTGTGGTCTGGTTGTCTGCTTTGATTGGAAGCACCACCTTAGTTTAGCGTACTGTTTCATTCAGATTCATTGTGCGGGATAATTGACGATAACCCCTTGTGCAATGTGGGTATATTAATTTTGCAATGCTCTCTGTGGGTAAATGTTCCTGTTTATCTGTGTATGCTCTTGCGACGATTCCTCTAAACTGGGACATTGTGTTCTGGGGCATGGTTTTGTCTAATCCAATAGTAGGTGAACATTGTCAACACTTTGCCCAAGTTGAAATTAAGGTGGAAATTCGACGTTATCCTAGCATTGTGTTGCTGCGCGATAATTATTAGGACAAGTAGATGTTCCCGGTTTGCTGCAGCTACTTTCCTAAACAAAATGAAGCACCATCCGCTGGAAGCACTTTTTATTCACCTTTCAGTATTTTGTACTACCCCCGTTCCATAATTCTTGTCGTCGTTTGGAACCAAAACGACGGCAAGGATTATGGAACGGAGGGAGTACCTATGAATTGGCCCTTTTACAAATCTCTTCTCATAATTTTCATTTGAAACTGAATGCAGAGGCTGGTACTTCAGCAGATCGTCCAAAGACCTTTTCTAAGAAGGTTTGCATGCATCATTTTTTCTTCCCATTTACGAAATCAGTTTAACTAGACTATCTCATATGCTTGTTTTGGCTCTGGGCTTGTATTTGTAAACCAAGCAGAAGCAAGAGGTATCTAACAGAAGGGAAGAGTCAATTGAGGAGGAAAGTGATGAAGAGGTTGAGAAGACCGTAAGTTATTCTCTTCCTAAAAAACTTACATTGAACTCTAGGTAGACCCTTCAGTCCTAAAGTGTATACATTATTTATCTTATGTGACAATCTGCTTCTGTTTTTACTTTATCAGAAACACAAAGGAACTGCAGGTCTCATCGAGATTGACAATCCAAACCTGGCGAAACCAAAGAGTATTAAAGCCAAGGATGTTGATGTAAGTCTTTTAATATGTGTTTCCTGCTCATGTTCAAAATATAATGTACTTCCGTCCATGATTGTGGATTGGCTAGCCACATTACAAGTTTACTTTCCTAGAAAGAAGATTTGCTGTTCCAATATAAGAATTTTCTACTGCATGTATTTGACTCCTTCAGACTGTTATTATGCACACTCCTGTCATAACCTGTGTTATAGTTAGGGTCTTGTAAGCATTTATCAGTTCATATCTATTCGCTAACTCGTACTGCACCTGCACAGGTTGATAGGACAACTGATCTCTCCAGGCGTGAAAGGTGTGTGCATGCATTTCCTGGGCATGCTTCTTTATGTACCATTGATTCTGTAAAACATATTTATCTCCTTTCTATGCGAGCCATAGGTGCACTTGAAATGTTGCTGACACAATTGGTAGAAGTTCTGGAATGAAAAAGGAAATTTCAGTGAGCTGATATAATAGCACTATCTAGTAGTAGTACTCCATAAATTTGTTGGACAGTCGCCGTTCTTTTTGACGGTTCTATAGGTGTTGTTGCACAAGGAAATTCCACCCTTTGTTATGTTTTTATACTTCTGGGGCTGTTGAAGAAAAAAATGCCATGTTATGCTTTTATATTTATTCTGCTGTATGTACTTCGCTTGTAATTATAATCAACAATGATAATATATAATGCACTATTTGGAAAGATTAATAGCCTATCCAGAGAAGAGGATGTACATTGTCAATGCAGTACTGTTACTTCCAGTGCATTTTAATTACTACGTTTTTTTTTGCTCTTTCAGGGAGGAGCTTGAGAAGCAGAGAGCTCGAGCTCACTATATGAGACTTCAGGAGGAAGGAAAGACAGAACAGGCTAGGAAAGACCTAGGTGAGGGGTTAAGAGCGATTCTCTCAACTATTTTCACCTTCGGTGCGCATGATTATGATGATATTTCACATTATATATATTTTAAAATACAGCACATCAATCAAAGGTTATAATTAACTAGAAGAAAGGATCTACTATGTTCCCACTTGAGTCTTGTGTGCAAGCCCATTTTATGATATGGTTGTAGGCATGTTAGGTCTAATAAGGAAGTTGCTGCATTTGATGTCACATTATACTATGTGTCCTTAGTAGTACAAGAATAGAAAAAAAAATGTACTTCCTCTAATTCATCATTTTATTTTTGAATGTACTGCAAGTATATATGAGGTTGTCATATCTTTCATGCATTGGATGTTTACCATGGTTGCCGTTTTGCACGTTCGTTTAGTAGTATCGGAGCATCGTTCCTTTGATACAGGCAAACAATCATGATCTTTACCCATCTTTTTCGCAACCACAGATCGCCTTACCTTGATCCGGCGGCAGAGGGAGGAAGCTGCAAAGAAGCGCGAAGAGGAAAAAGCTGGTACACCTCTTTGCCGCTGCTAGTAACATTGTTTTAGCTTTCCTTCGACATGTATTTAGTCGACACGTACAAAACTGAAAGCCTGAACAAACCTGCTATGTTAGAATCAAAACATTTACCTGCATGTGCTCTTCTCCACTTGCTTGATTTCTAACTTTGTGCTTCACTGCTTGCAGCGAAAGAGGAGAGGAAGGCTGAAGCACGCAAGTGAGCCAAGCTATGGATGGAGCAGATATGATAGATGTGTTTTGTTGCGAGACTCGACGCTGATATTAGCTGAACTGCCTTTTACTGCCTTTATTTGCCTGTAGTAGTATGCACTATGACCGCAGAACCTGTGTGAATGATGCCTGTGCTTTGATCCCGTTAGATGTGAATTCTGAACTTGAGTAGTGGAAAACGTGTTAACGGTAGCGACTTCATGCGAACGACATTTGTTGAATCCCCGTGCGGATTCGTCTGAAGGCTGCATCAAACTATATCCTTGGCACGAAAGAAAAGACTGTCGTTGGCATGATGGTGCTTTACCTGTTGAATCGGCAACTTAATGAGCTTCTGTTGTGCTATAGGAATCAATTTGATTATTTTCCTTCTGATTTCTCTGTACCTTGTCCCTCTTATTTTAATACATAATCAGAACACCTGCTATTTTTTCCTGTAAAAAAAGTTTTTTGGCTCTGCTAGAATATTGCCATCGTAGGATGTCAGTGTAGCTCTGGCCCCTTTTCAAAGTTCAAACATTAAAAACTAGAAGGGCAAAAAATAAAAAACGACTCCGCTGGGGATCGAACCCAGAATCTCTGGTTTCGTAGACCAGCGCCTTATCCATTGGGCCACGGAGTCATTGATGGAAGAGTAGAAATTCATTTAGAAGAGTAAAATTCGTCTCTGCTTTCGTCAGATTAAGTTAAATGACAAATTCATGACCTTAGAAAGGTGAACAGTGGCATGCGCAAAATAAAATAAAATAAGTTGACACGTGAGCTACATAAAAATGAAAAAAAGTCATGATTTTAAAAGGTAAACAGTACACACGAGGTTCACTGCTAAAAAACACGCATCACCATCAAACTTTGCACCTCTGTACTATACATCCATATTATCATGTCGAAATTCTTTAAACATTTTCTAAAACTTCAAACTATTCAAAATAAAGTGCTCACTGACACATGTGTTCCAAAGTGACTTTTCTTTTTGCAAAAATAGTTTTATTCCTTGATAGATGCAAGATTTATTAGAGCAATACCAAACCATATAATATGGTAGAAGGACATACATAGGCATGGATTCATCATCCTTCCAGTTTCCCGCATTAACTGGACCAATTATCTTGTTCTATATGCATTGCAAAGAAACACCGCCCTCCAGCAAGGTTCTTGCGAAAAAAAGAGAAACCAGAGTGGGATTTAGACAACGGTGATGCCACCACTGCTACTCCCGCTGAAGTTAGTGCTCAGGAAAAGTTCCATAATTATATTTCTAGGATACTTGGATTTCACTATTACAAGGAGATTATCTCTGCACATGTCACACACAAGAGTAGTGGCCTACTATCTTAGTACCTCCAAGGTTGAGGATCCAGGATGTTTACCATTAGATGGTGATGATTGGATGAAGCCGTCTGTTGTATACACGCCTTGCTGGATGGAGAGTTGCTTGACAGCAAATATAGTTTATAAGCCAATACTGGGTTATAACACTTATTGCTTGTAGCAAGCTCTTTGTTTATGTTGAATTATCGTCATGATAAGTTGGACTTCTTTGACTTTCCATAGGCAAGCATACTAGAAGATAATCTCTGTTTCTGTGCGGGGCTTTGCACGCCTGAAAAGCACGCAATGTGACACAATTGGAGGTAGCCCATGCACCGGATCGTGTCTCTGCAGAAGCGCCTCGATGACCTCTGGATAGGTACCTAAAGAATCGATCCCTGATGCTCCTGATCATCACCATTCTCATTGATCACCGACGCGGCTACTATCTTGTCAACAGTTTGCATCGCGACCAATGTTGTATGGCTACTCGGTTTCGGGAACACATACTGTTTTGGTTCTGGCATCGTGCTCGTGGAGTTCCGCCATATTCTATTGTAATTGGCTTGTTGCATGAAACAAGATGGCATTTATCTGGAAGCAAAGTTTCATTTATTTGGAGATAAAATTCCTTTTTTTTGTTAGAACCACATGTAATCGCTAGAGTTAATTTGTGTTATGGAAACAAACAACTACATAGTTGGAGGCAATTCGCTAGTTGATTGAAGCAATATTGTGATGCTCGGACCCCAATAGTCGGGGAATGTCACCTAGGAGGGAGCCTCGAGCGAACTTCCCCCGTTCCCCAACGGGGAGGATCATGGCGACCCCAATTGGCCCAAAGATCGACAAAATAGTTTTTTTTCTTTAAAAATGCCATGATCATAAAATAAAAAATAAAAAATACCACAAAAGTTGCTATTTTCCTAATCATCACCAAAAAACTTGCAAAAAAAGCAGTAAAGAAGTGCCAACTCTAAAAAATCCCATCCTCACAATAATAAAAATGACCATCTTATTATAAAAATAAAAAAATGCCATGCTCTTATAAAAAACTGACCTCCTCTAGTAATTAAAATGCCATCTCACAATAATAAAAATGTCATGATTTTATAAATAAAAATTTCATACTCACAATAATAAAAATGCCATAATTTTATAAATAAATCTGGTATCCTCTCATAATAAAAAAGCCATCCTCTTATAATAAAAATGTCATACTCTTACAATAAAAAATGCCATGTGAAAAGTACAAAAAAATCAGGATGTTTGGACGAATTAAAAAACAAAAAAAAGCTATGGAAAATGAAAAAGTTATATATATAAATATTAGTTTTTACGTGAATGTTTACAGAACCCCTTCATCCCACCCGCAAACAGCATCGAACGCCTTCAGCCAGGCATTGCCCTACATTGAGATCCATGCAACGGCGATGGGGGAGTTTGTGGGGGTTGGTTTCCATGCTCATAATTATAATATCTACTTTATTTGCGGTAATCCATTTCTAAGCCCGGGCTCAGCTGCACCCACCCGACGAAAAAAATCAAAACAAATACTAGAAAAATTCAAAAAATTCCAAACTTTTTTTGTGTGGTAGATTTGATGCATGAGCTTCGCTCCAATTTTTAAATCATTTGGACATCTGAGCAGCTCTCGGCAAAAAGACAAATCCAGGGTCTGTAAAAATGTTATTGTTCACGCACTGTTATGACCCGATTTGTCTTTTTTTCTGAGAGCTGCTCAGATATCCAAATGCTCTAAAAATTGGAGCGAACCTCACGTATCAAATTATCTACCACACAATTTTTTTTAGAATTTTTCTAGTATTTATTTTGATTCTTTTACTAACCGGGTGCAGATGAGTCTAGGCACCGAAACGCTGCACTCCTTTATTGGACTCTTTTTTTGTTAGGTCGAAGCAAATTTGAATCAACATGGAAGAAAATTATCCAGTCGATGGAAGTAAACAATTACAGTACTACAACAAATACTTTTTCAGATATAACCAAAGCTGTCCGATCTCCGGTGCTTCCCCCAAAACAAGTTCGAGCTCCGATTTGATTCTTCAGTCCATGGCCAAATCCGGTACGTGATCCAACGCCCTATTTAAGGTTTTGCAATGGGGACGTCGTTCGGAGTGGCCCGGAGCCTGGATTGCTTTCTTCAGCTTCTTCGCCGGCCGGAATGGCGCGATCATCAAGTCCTCGGCTACCTCGGTTGGAGAGCCTTGGCACTTTGGTGGCTTTCACGGGGTCGTACTCGGACTAAAACAAATCGGAGTGTGAAACTGGAACGAACTCTAACCCACTACCCACCCACCATTGGCCCTCGCTATGTACATCTTCCCTTGTTGGTAGCCGAGGTAGAAGCAAAGCATCAGACTATCGAGAACCCTACCTACTTGTCTGTTCCTTTGCACCGCGGGCGCAGTCTCCATAAAACATGGATCCGGCGGGTCTGCTACCCGGCGACGTGCTCGCGGACGTCCTTGGGCGCCTGATGCCGCCCAGCCTCGCCGCCTGCCGCTCCGTCTGCAAGGCGTGGTGTGCCGTCGTCGACGCCCACGGCCTGCTGCGCAAGGACCTCCTGCCGCTCGCCCTGGCCGGCATCTTCGCCGTCTACCGCTTCGTTGTCGGCTATCACCTTCCCCCGGCGTTCCTCTCGCGCCCCTCTGTTGCGGGCAAGATTCAAGGTAACCTCGGCTACCTCGACGACGTCTGCGATGACTGGTCCCACATGACGGGCCACTGCAACGGCCTCCTCCTCCTCTGGGGAGGCGTGGCCAATCCGGCCACGCAGCAGTGGGCGTGTCTACCGTGTCACCCTGATCGGACCCCGACCAAAGGCTTCATCAAGCACGACTTCCTCGCGTACGATCCTATGCTCTCGCCACACTTTGAGGTGTTCTTCATGCAATGTGTTCGCCGCCGGTCCGAGAACGACGCCGCATTGGACCCCGCGAACCCAAACTCAGAGTGGCCTCCGTCGCCCTACACCATGAGCGCATTCTCGTCAAAGACATGGCAGTGGGAGGAGAGATCTTTTACCAGGGAAGGGATGGCTCCACGGTCGATCGACCCTAACCTACTACTACTCATGAAACACGTGTTCTCTCATGATTCTGTGTATTGGCGGGGACGTCTCTATGTGTTCAACATATATTTTGTTATCAGGTATGTTTTGTTTCCCTAATTTTTTCTAGAAAAGGTCACCCAATACCATGCACGGTGACTAGCTAGCTAACGTTGTGCAGTAAATAACGAATTTATTTATTTGTGCAGATTGGATTTAGAGGATAATAAGTACCGAGTAATTGAACTCCCCCCGATTAATGAAGCACGCGGAGATATTCATTTGGGAAAATCGGAGAAGGGCGTTTACTATGTATTCGCTGGTGGTTGGTGCAGACTTCAGATTTGGTTTCTCAATGAATCAATTGATCACACCGAATGGATGTTGAAGCATGAGATTGGCCTCAAGCCGTTGCTAGAAAATTTTCCTTGGGAACACAGTCATGGGTCTTGGTTCGTGCAAGGTGTGAGGGATAACAATGATGAAACACTTGACAGAGAGAAACCGGAATGGGATTCAGACAATGATGATGCCACTACTGCTCCTGCCACTGAAGCTAGTGATCGGGAAAAGTTCCATAAATACATTTCGAGGATATTTGGATTT